AGACAGACAGACAGACAGACAGAGAGATGGAGAGAGAGAGACAGGTAAGAGAGAGAGACAGAGACAGAGACAGAGAGAGAGACAGAGAGAGACAGACAGATAGACAGAGACAGAGACAGAGAGAGAGACAGAGACAGAGACAAAGACAGAGAGAGGCTGGAAGAAAACTAGCATGTCCAAGAAGAAAACCTAGTGCTAGTTTTAATATTTTTGTAACCTAATCTCAGAATAATACCTCGTCACTTGTGTTGTAATGTATTTATTCAAAATTAATATTTAAGTATAGTCCCTGCTCAGAGACATAGGATTGCATAAGTATATGAGTGCCAGGTAACAGGTATCATTGGCTGTCATTTCAGAGGATTCTTTAATAATCCCTTTAATCCTTTTATTCTATGTGGTCAGTTTGACTTCTATTACATATGCAATAGTCAGTGATCTTTTTCTACTTTCTGTTTTCTGTCTCTTTTTTTCCAGTCATTTTAAATTGTATTCTTTTTAGTTTCTCAGAAAATATGATGTTTGAATATTATTATGTCCTTAACTTTGTTTTGATCATAACTAAACACAAGAAATGTTTCTTATCAGTCCTTTTGATGAAATTCCCAAGTCATCTTTTAATGGATTAAACCAACATTTTAGGAGACTTCCTGGGAAGGGACCATGTTTACACTAGTCCCTCACAGGTTTTTTTTCATGCTCTGCCTTCTTCTGTAGCCATGACAACTGCAGAAAAGCTTGCTGCATATAAAATCCTTGGCTCATACTTGTTAGAATTTTGGAATATGCTACTGTACTATTCCCCCACTTAGTAGGTTGCCTTTCAAAAGTCCAGTGACATCAAATTCTCTTGTCTTTATATACTATTTTACCCTTTTTGCATGAAAGATGTGAGAACTCTTTAAAAAATATTAAAGTCTTCAGGGGTATTGAGATAGCTCAGTGGACTGAAGCACCTACTTAGGCAAGCTTAGGCAAGTGCAGGGACCATGGTTCAATCCCTGGTAACACATGCCACACCAACCCCATCCTCAGGGTGGGCTGAGCTGGCCAGAGTCTGGGTGTAGTGGTGCAAGTCTGTAACCCCAGCACCGGGGAGGCTGAAAGCAAGAGGATCACCATGAGTCTGAGTTGCATAGTGAGACCCTGCAACAACCAAATACATTAAAAAAATAAATAAATAAAGTCTAATAGTTTTGGTAAGATATGATTCAAAATTCATTACCCTGGATCAGTTTGCCTTGGTACTTGCTGGAGTCTTTGAATTGTTTCCTTTTATTTCTAGAAATTTTTTCATGGATTATATTTTTTAATATTAGTTTCATTCTATTATTTTCTTTTCATCTTTATAGGCTCCAATTATATTGGATCTTCTTCGACTGCCATCTACAGCCATGCATTACTTAACAATGAGGATACATTCTGTAGTATGCATGAGACAGTTCCATCAGTATGCAAATGTCATATAATGTATTTACACAAATTAAGATAACTGTGATGTCACTAGGCATTATAATCTTATGAGAACACCTTTATAAATATGGTCCATCATTGATCAGAATTCATTTATACCACATCTATCTATAATGGTGTTGGCTATCTACAGTAATGACCCTCTTTCTTTTTTAAAAAAGTTTTTTATTCTTAGATATTTTATAACTTTAATTCAGTGTGCCTTATTATACTTTTTAAAAATCTACTGTCTTGGGGGGCCTGGCCCTAGCTCAGTCCTTTAAGTGGCAGCTTCCACAAAGCTGTCAGCCTCAGGTTGCGGTAGTTCGATCCCCACAATCTTCCAGCCAGCCAAACCTGGCCTGAAGGCATTTGGAGCAAA